ATACACAGTGCAATGAAGGTTAAGTAGTTTGCCCACAGCCACACAACTGATAACTGGTGGAGTTGATTTGTAGCTTTGGTGGACTGATTGGCCTCCAAGAATTCGTTTGTAATTTTATTAGATAATTGTTCAAATAGTTGTTCATAATCAAGAAAATACTTGTCAAAAACCTCAAAATAGGCTGGGTACAGTGGCTCATGCTGGTATACTCAGCACTTTTGGAGGCTGAGGTCGACGGATCACATGAGTCCAGGAGTTCAAGACTAGCCTGGCCAACATGGTGAAGCCCTGTCTCTACTTAAAATACAAAAATCAGTTGAGCATGGTGCTGCATGCCTGTAGTCCCAGTTACCCCAGAGGCTGAGGCACAAGAATCACTTGAACCTGGGAGGCGGAGGTTGCAGTCAGCCGAGATGGCGCCACTGCACTTCAACCTGGGTGAGGGGGTGAGACTCTGTCTCAAAAAAAGAGACAAACCTCAAAATAATACTGTATTGTCAGATTTACACAAGTTGAAATTACATGGCAATACAAAATTGTCATGAAATTTATTTTGTATGTTTGACAATGGTGAGTTTGAGATCCTGATGCATAGGTGTTCCTCAGATTGCTGAAAATAGATACCTTATGCTGAGGACAGATGTTGGAGTAAAACATAAAATTTTATGAAAAATAAAGCAGCTGAGATGTGGAATTATGAGGTTTGAGGTCAGAACTTAACACACCAAAGGTCAGAAGTAACCCACGTTTACTTATTTGTTGAAATAATGCTTTCATATGTTAGTCTTCTCATCTAGAGTCCATGTTTTGTTAGCAAATAATATCTTGACTATAAATACTATTGATAGATAGGTACTTGTTAATTATTTATTACTTATTAGTCTTTATTACTTACTAGTTAATGTTTTTCTAAATATTCTTTATTTTCTTATGTTGACTTTTAGCACGACCACATGATTTCTTCGATGCACAAACACTGGATGCGATAAGACATCGAGCCATATGCTTTAACCTCTCAGCTCATATAGAAAGTTTAGGGAAGGGACACAGTGTCGTTTTTCATAGTACTGTAAGTATTTTTTTATTTTTTCTAATTAAATATAAAGCTTTGCAAAAATACATTTTCACAATCATTTCTAAATCTCTCAATTAAGAAAATACAATTTAACAAATACCACAAAACCTTTTGCTTTATCAATATTGAAAATATTGCTTGTATTATTGGTTATAAAGCACATATCTCCTATAATTTTACATGTTTGTGATTAAACTAAATATGTTAGCTTTTACTTTGAGCTACTTAGGAATAATGGGGTGACACATCGTATAGTGCTACTAGGTATTACTGGATTCTGACACTAGGTAAACGAGGTGTCTTTTCTGACCTGGTCTGCTCATTTGTAAAATTAGAATATTAGACTCCTTTTAGCTCTAAAAAGTTTCATTCACCTTTCTGTTTACTGCATGGAGCCACCCCTTCTTACCCCACATACCCATCCAATGTTTGTTAAACAGAAAATAAGATTATGTTTGCTATTAGAGCTTCATGAGGGAAAGGATTTTAGTCTCTTTTGTTCCACTCATATGTCCCACATGCCTAGAATTTTGCCTGGCACATGGTAGGCACTCAGTATGATTGTTGAATGACTATGTTGTCAACGTAGAAGAAGAAAAGTACCAGATTTTGAAAAAGCAGTAAATGCAGTTTATGTTTTTGGTTAATGGGGGGTTACAATAGAGAGTTGTTCGTTCTTCCATGCCTCTTTTCATTTTGTTCTTCAGTCATTTTTAAATTGGTGTAGTTTGGTATAAGTAAGTTAATAAACATACATTATAGACCATACTTTTGGTGATTCTAGTCTCTGAAAAGTATATGTTTAATTTTGGCTATCAGAATACAAAATACAGGCTGGGTGCAGTGTTCGCAATCCCAGCATTTCGAAAGACTGAGGTGGGCGGATCACCTGAGGCCAGGAGTATGAGACCAGCCTGGCGAATTCAGGGAAACCCTGTCTCTACTAAAAATACAAAATTTACCCAGTCATGGTGGCGTACGCCTGTAATCCCAGTTACTTGGGAGGCTGAGAGAGGAGAATTGCTTGAACTTAGAAGGTGGAGGGTGTGGTGAGCTAAGATCGCGCCACTGCATTGTAGCCTGGGCAGCAAGAGTGAAACTCCACCTCAAAAAAAAAAAAAAGTCAAAAAAATGAAAAAAGCACAAAAACAAAATACAGCCAGGCGTGGTAGCCCATGCTTATAATCCTAGCACTTTGGGAGGCCAAGGCAGGCAGGCAGATTGCTTGAACCTTGGAGTTCAATACCAGCTTGAACAATATGGCAAAACCCTGTCTCTACAAAAGCATGCAAAAAATGAGTCGAGCCTATTGGTGTGCACCTGTAGTACTCGCTGAGGTGGGAGGATTGGCTGAGCCCAGGAGGTCAAGGCTGCAGTGAGCTGTGATTGCAGCACTGCACTCCAGCCTGGGCTACAAAGTGAGACCCTGTCTTTAAAAACACACACACACACACACACACACACACATTAAATTTGGGTCACTTTTTAATATTTCAATTGAAAAATACATGAGAATTGAAATACAAAAGGTCCTTATTGATATCAGTATGTTGTTTGGTTTGAATCTCTATTTCCCTCTTCTCCTATAATAATGAGGTTTTTTTTTTTTTGCATTTTCCTGTTTACTTCTACATGCAGTCATCCCTCCGTATCCACAGGTTCTATGACCACGATTCCAACCACCCACAGATTGGTAATATATCTGGGGAGAAGAACCACAATAAAGATAATACAAATTAAGAAGTACAGTGTAACAACTATTTACATAGTATTTACTTATATGGGAGGCTTTGTATAGGCTATATACAACACTGTGTTACTTTATATAAAGGCCTTGTAGAGCATCCTTGGATTTCACTATTCAAGGCAGTTGGAGGTGTCCTTACTTACTTTCCAATTATATAATTATATATAGCTTTCCTCTTTTTTGTACCTACTTTTTTTGTTGTTGAGACAGAGTCTTGCTCTGTTGCCCAGACTGCAGTGTCCTGGCACGATCTAGGTTCAGTGCAACCTCCACCCCCTAGGTTCAAGTGATCCCCCTCCCTCAGACTCCTGAGTAGCCGGATTACAGGTGCATGCCACCACTCAGCTAATTTTTGTGTTTTTAGTAGAGATGGGGTTTCAGCATGTTGGCCAGGCTGGTATTGAACTCCTGACCTCAAGTGATATACCTGCCTCAGCCTCCCAAAGTGCTGGGATTACAGGTGTGAGCCACCGTGCCCAGTCCATCTTGAGTTATTTTTTTATATGATGAGAGTTCAGTAAGGATCCAGTTTCATTCTTTGGCATATGGTCAGCCAGTTTCTGCAGTGCCATTTATTGAATTGAGGGTGGAGGGAGAGAGAGTGTGTGTGGGGGTGTGTGTGTGTGGGTGTGGTGGTGGTTATGGTAAATGGCATTGCATTCTTGATTTGGTTGTCAGCTGGAGTGTAGCTGGTGTATAGAAATGCTCCTGATTTTTGTATGTTGATTTTTGTATCCTGAGACTTTGCCAAAGTTGTTTATCAGGCTTATGAGATTTTGGTGAAATATTCAGGGTTTTCTAGGTGTAGAATCATAGTGTCAGTGAAGAGAAATAATTTGATTTCCTCTTTTCCTATTTGGATGCCTTTTATTGATTTTACCTGATTGATTGCTCTAGCTAGGACTTGTAGTACTAGGTGGAATAGGAATGGTCAGAGGGGACATCCTTGGGTTTTTTTTTTTTTTTTTAAACATTTATCTTTAATATATTTTTAGAGAGAGACACGATCTTGCTATGTTGCCCAGGCTGGTTTTGAACTCTTTGCCTCAAGCATTCCTCTTGTCCCAGCCTCCCAAAATGCTGAGATTACAGGTGGGAGTCATCATGCCCTGCTGACATCCTTTGTCTTCCTTTCCCTTTCCAAGACAGTGTCTTACTCTATCACCCAGGCTGGAGTGCAGTGACACAAACATGGCTCACTGTAGCCTTGATCTCCTGCATTCAGGAGATCCCCCCTTCCTCAGCCTTCTCAGTACAGCTGGGACCATGCTGAGTAACTGAGTAGCCAGGAGCTACCACACCTGGCTAATTTTTTTTACTTTTATTTGTTTGTAGAGGCAGGGTCTTGCCATGTTGCCCAGGCTAACCTTGTCTTGTTTATGTAAATGTAAATTTATGTAAATGTTTACTAAATGTAAATGGAGGCATGCTTGACATAATATGTTTTTAAATGTATTATATAAATTAATTTGTGTTTTTAGTTACCACATAACCAGTGTTTGTGCCCTAACTTGAATTTTTCAGGTGATGAAACTAGGGACTGTAAAGGTTGTATTACCTTTCCTAGTGTGATCTAGCATAGTTGTGTATTGTTGTTACATATGGTTTATGGACCTTTACCCCAAACCCATTCATTGACTCCAGGATGAGAACTCTTGTGGTACGTACATTGATATGTGTGATACTTACAGAGAAGATAGATCCTGCTTCAGCCTGGGCATGGGAGCCTGGTTTGGAGCTTACCCTTTGTCCCTCCTTGTGTTGCCAATTTCTTGGCAGCAAATATACCAATTAAATGGACACTATTAAATAACTTTATTTAAAAAAAGCAAGATAGAAAATGGAGCAATAGTTAGGTATCAGTACATTCTACTCAAGTTTTAAAATATTTAGGGTAGAATTGTGTATTTTGGAAATTAGATAAGGATATAAAGGAGAGAGTAAAGAACAAAATTTGGAGTCAAAGCAAGAAAGTAGAAAATTAGATGCAAAGAAAAGGAAACTTTTTCTGAGATTGGAAGACATGGAGACATGAATTTGAGGAAAGATGTCCTTATTTTCTTTTAAAGAACATAGGAAATACAGTTATCTAAATAAGGATGAAAGAGTTGGGGAGGAAAATATTACAGGGTTTGCAGACTAGAAAGAGTTAATATGGCTGCTCTGGGGATTTTATGGGGATTCATTATGATTAGGGCCTTGCTCAGCAAGGCTGGTTGAAGTCCTCTTTTGAAATTTGGGAACACAGTTTTATGGTAAGTCTGTAATTAGATTTTTTTTTAAGAGGTCAGTAAGATGTCACCATGTCCAGAGTGTGGCATTAGAGCTAGTTTGTGCATTCACTTAAATACTGAGCACTTACTGTGAGCCAGGTACTAATGATATAGCAGTGAACAAAACAGATTAAAACCGACCAACCAAACAAAAAATAACATACCCATACTCTAATGGAGGAGACACGACTAAACAAGATAAATTAGTAAAATTGTAAAAACTTGCAACGAGGGCATAAACCATTCCATTATTAGTGGAGGATAAGCATTTTATCCAGAGGGAAGATCAAATGAACATCCTTAGTGGGAGTATGCCAGGTATATTAGAAAAACAGTGAATAGGCAGAGTAGACAGTGTAGCTGGAGGGAACAAGGGAAGAAGAGAGAGTGGGAGTTAAGTTTGAGAGGTAATGGGGAGAAGCTTGGTTGGACTAAGACCTTGGCTTTTATTCTGTGTGAGACGGGAAGCCACTGAAGGGGGTTGAGTAGACATGGCCTGATTTAGTGATTTTTTTTTTTCTTCTTCTTTTTCTTGAGACAGAGTCTCACTCTATCACCCAGGGTGTAATGTGGTATGATCGTGGCTCACTATTGCCTCAAACTCCTGGGCTCGAGCAGTCCTCTCACCTCAGTCTCCCAAGCAATTTGGTCCATAGGAGTACACCACCAGGCCCGGCTAATTTTTTGTTTCTTAATTTTTATTCTTATTTGTTTTATTTTTTTGTAGAAACAAAGTCTTGCTGTGTTGCCCAGGGTAGTCTTAAACTCCTGGGCTCAAACGATCCTCCTACCTTGGCCTCCCAGAGTGCTGGAGTGAGCCACCATGCCTGGCCTAGTTTTTTAAATAATATTTTCATTTTTATGTTTTTGAGACAGAGTGTCTCTGTCATCCAGGCCTGAGTGCAGTGGCACCATACCGGCTCACTGCAACCTCTGCCTCCGAGGTTCAAATGATTTTTGTATAGCCTCCCAAG